TGAGAACACATCTATAGAGCTCCAACTCTTTCCATAGGATTTTCAATCTCGTATAATACTCAGAAACAGGTAAATCACCTTGATGACAAGCGAGAATCTGATCCTGAAGATCAGAAACCCTAAATTTATCAGCATGGGAGAATCGATCCTTGAGATCTCTCCAAATCTCTGATGCTGTATCCATCCACATCACCGATTGCTTGATCGAAGAAGTCATGGATCGTGTGAGCCAGGACATCACCATTCGATTTGAGCGACGCCAAGCTTCGTGAAGTGGATCTGAGAGAGGGGGACAAGGAAGAGTACCATCAATGAACTTCTCCTTGTTTTTGGTCTCCAGTGCGACGACCATGTCACGTTCCCATTGATGAAAATTGCTCTCCGTAAGGAGAGGAGAAACAAGCACCAATGCTGGGTTTTCTGCAGGATGAAGATAAAGTGGGTTTGCCGGATTCACAAGGTGATCCGGTGTTTGTGTAATAGGATGGCTTAGGGAAGCCATTTTCAGAAAATGAGGAAGAAGAAAAAGAAGCTTCAGGCGGAAGAAGCAGTGGGTGTTAGCTCTGATACCATGACAGAGTGATGGCCAAGCAAAGATAAACCTTAATCCTCATTATTCATCCTGTATAATAAAGTCTGAAAGTGCTCAATATATATTCAGCACATTGTTACAAAATAAAAAGAAGAAAATAAAGAGGATTACAGCCTGTCTAACACAATAACAGAATGCTAGAAATATCTACCAAAATCTACCACAGTAACAGAAAGCAAATAAACATAACAAACCAGGGGTAGAAACGATATTTCTCACAAGCTGCAAAAGGAAATTTTATTATTAATCGTCATGCATTATATTCAGTTTATTTTTAAAATGTTTATAATAAATTCAGTAGTCAACCAAATATATGTTTAAACTTTTCCATTCTTAATTAGTTTTAGTCAGTTTTAGAACGGTTATGTTTTATGGTTAAAGGATTAGTTTTAGCAACAAGTTAATAAATATGTTAACAATATGCATTTAGCTGGATTTTTTCTAATTATACGATCTTAGTTATTTACTCCAATTAAATCAATTTGGTTCTATGAATAAGCCAATGTATGATGCTAATTGGATCTGAATGTTATTTTAGTAATATTCCATTAGAATACAGTGATGATGTAATTTGGAGAACCAAAACCTCATGAGTATTCGAGCATCTAATTGCCACCCTTACAACCTTAAAAAACTAAAGTCATTTGTATGTATTATGATAATTCAAACAGCTCAGTTGGGATATTTAGAGAACCAAAATTACAATTATGCAACATTGTATTGTATTAAAAACAAAATAGAATTACTATTACATACAAATATTATATATATAGCTATATTTATATTTTACAAAATTGAACTTTTTTGTACTTTTCAGGCGGAGTGGCCCATAGATGTATCATACACAGATGAGTTTTCCTTCAAAAGATGGCAGTACTCGAACTACAACTTCACAATGGCTACTTTTTGGTCACCCTATCTAGTTAGAGCTGAACAAGTTGATTCAAAGGGTGATCTCATCAACATTTATCTTGATGAGTTTGATGAAAAATGGACGGCTCAAATTAAAGAGTTTGACTATGTTATTATCAATGGAGGACAGTGGTTCTTGAGGCCAATAGTGTTCTACGAGAACCAAAAAATTGTTGGATGTCAATATTGTTCATGGGAAAATGTTACGCATCTAACATGGCACAGTGGCTATGGGAAGGCTTTTAGGACTGCATATAAAGCCATAGTCAATTTAGGAAACTCCAAGGTTGTAACGATTCTTAGAACGTATGCTCCATCTCATTTTGAGAATGGGGTGTGGGATAAAGGTGGGAATTGCATAAGAACTAAGCCATTTAAGAGTAATGAAACAAGGTTAGAGGGCTACAATCTTGAGTTACACACCATACAATTGGAGGAGTTCAAACGTGCTGAGAAAAAAGCTATGAAGAGAGGTTTGAAATTCATGTTACTTGACACCACACAGGCTATGTTACTCAGGCCAGATGGTCATCCCGATAAATATGGTCACTGGCCTCAGGAGAATATGACAGTATCTAATGATTGTGTGCATTGGTGTTTGCCAGGACCTATTGACACAATGGCTGATTTTCTATTGGAAACGTTGAAAAGGGAAGGTTTCACATCTTTTCCTAAAAAAGATTTCATCTAAAGACAATTGTTAATTAGAATTATTTTTCAAACTACAATTGGCAAATCTTGTCTTGTAATTTGATGTATAAAGATGAATTGTTCTTAACAGGTTTTATAGACTCAATATTGATTTTTTATTAGAAAAGTTGAAAATGGAAGTTCTTATATATCTTTCATATAAAACGATAAATGAAGCCTCTTTCTACCCGGAGAACTAACACCTTCCTTCCATTTTCAATATTTCTAATAGAAAAATCAATTCAGAGTCTATAGGCCTGGCAAGCACCAATGTCCAATTTATTTGTATTATATATGTTATTATCATAGTATTATTCAAGGAACCCTATTTATGTTAACCCAGATTCTATCCACTCACATAGAAGATAAGATCTATCAAAATCTGAGAAAAGAATTCTCACACCCGCTTGCATGATAAAACATAAAAACCATGCAGATGTACAATTTCTATGGGTAGATAATCATCCGCAATGTAGGTGGGTGAAATGAAGAGCAAGTTTCAATTACTAAAAACAATAATGACGACACACTTTCTTAGTGTTTTCAATATACTATCTTCTATTGATTAAACTTCATGTGAGCCTTATTATTTTCAAACTCAGACCCACCTAACGAGATAGAAATTGGAACTCACATACTTAGTGTGACAATGTGAATTTCACCTTATAAAAGATATTATGTCAGAAAGATCTTTTTGAGAAAATGGATTTAGACTTAATTTAACATGTAAAAGAAGGTTCATGTCAAATTATGAATTATAACTCAATAATAGCTTTTATCGATATGGAATCTTCAATGTATCTTGTCGCACCAGAAATCAAATATCTTAAATTTGATATTTGTGGCTAATGGCAGACTATATAATAGACTCAACAAATCTATTATGTTCTAGGTTTGCAACCAACAACCTATACTTTATAATGTGATCCTAATTCTAGTCTATCTGAAATCTACAACACGAATGTTAGAAGCATTTTCCTGAAATCTAACATTGACTCGCAAATTGAGAGGCAACTGAGATGAAATTCCAAATAAATACCCAAAACCAAAATGATGTAGTCGTTCAAGCATTTTGCCATACATGTAGAATGCAAAGCTCCAGAATGACAGGTGGGCCTCAAGTAAAAACCCACTTGGAAAGAAAAGCTCCATTGCTATAACACCAAGCTGGAAGCCCAAGGATGGAGGAAACCCACCTAAGAATGAATCCTTATGGCTGACCAACACCATTGGAGCTGAAGCAACACTTAGATTTTCTATAAAAATGAGCATCCCTTGTTATTTATATACTAACTTTGTAGTTCAGTCCTAGAGTTCTTAGACATATATTTGATAAGTGCTTAATATGAATTAATTTTAAAAGGAATTTGGCCCTTATATTACTTTGATTTTGTTAAAATTTTGTACAAATCATTCCAGTTTAGCTTTTTTGCAATACTTGATATAAAAGGAGAGTCAAAGTGAAAAAATAAAAAAAATGGATGAAATTTAAGTAATCATGGACAAAAGTGACGTCTGTGCAACTGAGCGGAAAAATTGAGACTTAAGCTACACAAGCAAACCCATTGCAAAAGGAAACCTCAAGTATTAAATCTGAAATTAAGTCACAAAAACTCATTTATAAAGAAGTTATCTCAGGGTTGCAGCACCAAAGCATGAGGCTTAAACCACAAAAGAAAATCCACCTAAGAATGAAAACTCTGCATTTGGAGCCCCATGTGTGCTAAGCGCTGTCTTAGGCAATTTATAAAAACAAAGTTGCTTCCCAATATAGTGTTTGCAGAGAAGTGAGATTGAGAGAAAGGAAAATTGACTATCTCAAAGACAATTTGAACCCAATATACGTCAAATGCAAAATGAGATATAGAGTGTAGATCAAAAGATTAGGGTTGTCAATCGGGAGAAGGGTATCATGACTCTTGATTCAGAGGATAGAGTTATGCTATCTCATAAGAAAGCAAGTTGGAAAATCAGAAAAAGAAACATAAGAAAATGTAAATCCATTTTATTTGTATTCCCTTTACTTTCCACTTTTCGTTCTTTAGAATTATGTTTCAAAGTTGGCCATCATTTGTTTATTATTCTTTACAGATTGATGACCTTAAAGACAAAATTAGAAAGGTGGTTAAAGGGAGGGTTCCTCTTGATAAGGACGTGAAAAAGGATATTACTGAAGCATTAAGGTTGGGAAAATCTTTTAATTTTTTTTGTTTTTTTATGTTTACTCGTAGTTGTAAGCACCTACCTCTTGAATTTGGACTGGGAACCTAATTCCATCCTGAAATGTATAAGGTGAGAATTGTCCAACCTTGTATAAGCTCTCCATTGGCCATATGTATAGTTGATGTGAAATATCAAACACACTCCTTGTTGGACTTCTTAATTCAAGAAGTCAAGAAAGCAAATTAACCACACCAACAGATTATACTTCTCTGAATATACTTCTCTTATTCAATGAACCAAGAATACAATTGTATAGTAATCCCTCCTAAGAAAGCTTGATCTCCCTCCACTGGACTAATGTTCCAGTCAACAACAATTACTAATCTCATTCCCCTCGCCCTTTTCCACTAATTATTATTTGGTTTAATAGCCAATTTAGTCCCCACTTTGGTTGAAAAATCTCAATTTAGTCTCTCGTTATAAAAGTGTTTTGCATTAGTCCTAACTTTTAAAATAGTGGGTCAGATTGGTCCCTTTCGTTAAATATAAGTTAACGAAATTAATGGATGATGATGTTACACAGCTTAAAGCTGATGTGTTTAGATTGGTCCTCGTTAGCTTTAAGTTGTGTCACATCATCATCCATTAATTTTGTTAACTTATATTTAACAGAAAGGACCAATCTGACCCACTATTTTAAAAGTTAGGACTAATTCAAAACACTTTTATAACGAGGGACTAAATTGAGATTTTTCAACCAAAGTGAGAACTAAATTGGCTATTAAACCTTATTATTTATACTCCCAACCCTTTAACAAACTTCTAATAGAAACTCCCTCCTAATTTCTAATGGACATTTTCTCCTTCCCGTCTTTATTTCTCCTTACATATACTTTTTTCCCTACCAATACCCCCCTCCATCTCAACAACCTTGTCCTCAAGGTTGAAATCCGGAAACTGGTGCTTGATGTACCGTTCCTCTTCCCAAGTTGCTCCTTCTACTCCACCCTCTTGTCATTGGATCAGAACTTGGGATACCTCCTTTCCTTGTTGATTTCTGTCTCGCCTATGTAATACCTTTAAAGGTTTATATAATGGACCTTCCACCTGTAGTTCCTCTGGCAATTCCCCTTCCACCTTATTCTCCCCGCAACTTTCTTCAACTGTGATACATGAAAAATCGAGTGTGTTCTGGTGGTAACTGGCAGCTGCAATTGAAAAGCCACTGGACCCACTTGTTTTTCAACCAAGAAAGGTCCGTAATAACGAGCAGACAGTTTGGGATGCAACTTGGTTGGCATTGACACTTGTCTATGGGGCCTTATCTTAAGGAAGACCCAATCTCCTTCTTTCACACTAGACTCCTTCCTCTTTCTATTCGCATACTGCACCATCCGCTCTTGTGCTCTAGTCAGGTGATGTTGCAGCTGATTGATAGCTTCATCTCGCATCTGCAAGTCCTGTGCCACCGCTTCTACCAATGTTTCTCCTGGAATAAATCTAGTTAATGCTGGCGGGGGTCTGCCATAAATTGTTTCAAAAGGAATGCATTTTGCCGCCCCCTGATAACTGGTATTATACCAGTATTCAGCCCATGGTAACACTGTGTTCCAAGCCTTAGTTTGTTCTGAACAGAAACACCGTAAATAGGTTTCCATTACCTCAGTCTGGTCGTCCGTTTCTTGGTGGTATGCGGTGCTCATTCTTAATTTGGTGCCTAAATTCTAAAAAGCTCCTTTCAAAATGTACTGATAAAAAGAGGATCTTTGTTGCTAACAATTGACACTGGTATCTCGTGCAGGCGCACCACTTACCTCACGAAGATTTCTGCAATTACCTTTGTTGTATAAGGATGCTTTATGGAAATAAAGTGCCCATATTTGCTCAACCTATCCACCACCACCATTATCGTTTCAAACCCCTGAGATTTTGGCAACTTAACCACAAAATCCATATATTTGTGTTGTTGGCAGACCAAATAGGAAGCTACATAGTCTGTCACCCTCTTCTTCATACCCTTCCAATGAAAAGCATGGGCAAGTCTTCTATACATTCTATATACCCCCGAATGTCCCCCTATAGTAGAATCATGCAATTCTGCTAAAATATTTGGTATCCATTCAAACTTTTCTGAAAGCATGAGCCTTCCCTTAAAATGTAACATCTCGTTCTCCATTGTGTAAGTAGGATGAGAATCCGGATCATTCTTTATCTCTTCAATTATGTTTTTCAGCCCTTCATCCTTCTCCACTTCCTCTATTATCTCTTGAAAATCAGGCCAATATGGCCTGGTTATCACTTGTAATGTCTTGTCCCCGTCTTCCCCTTCTTCTCCTTTCCTAGACAATCCGTCCGCCACCTTGTTTGAAGCACTCGTCCTATAATAGATATCAAACTCATATCCCATGAGTTTTGCTAACCAGTTTTGCTGGCTTTGAGTTATTATGCGCTGCTCCAACAAATACTTCAAGCTTTTCTGATCTGTAAAAACACTGAAACGCTTCCCTAGTAGATACGAACGCCAGTGTTGAGTGGCCAACACCACGGCCATACTCTCCTTCTCGTAAACTGACTTGCTTAATGAACCTTCTGATAATGTCTTGCTGTAATAAGCTATGGGCCTCTTATTTTGTGACAATACCGCTCATATTCCCTTCTCCGAAGCATCACATTCAACTTGGAAAGGTTGTGAAAAATCTGGCAGAGCAAGAACAGGAGCAGTGGCCACTGCCTTTTTAAGAGCTTGCATGGCTTCTTCTCCTGCAGTTGTCCACTCAAATTTCCCGTTCTTCAAAAGATTCGTGAGAGGTCGGACAATTTTCCCATAATTCCTTACAAATCTCCTGTAATATCCAGTGAGCCCTAGAAACCCCCTTAACTCTTTAATGCAATGGGGTGTTGGCCATTCGGTCACTGCAAACACTTTGTCTCCATCCATCTCTACCCCTTTTTTCGATATCATGTGTCCCAAATACCGAATGTGCCTCTTGCCAAAATCACACTTTTTCTTGTTGGCAAATATCTGATGTTGTTCTAGCATTTCCAACACCTGCCTAAGGTGTTTCTCGTGATCCCCCCATGACTTACTGTACACCAAGATGTCATCAAAGAATACAAGCACACTCTTTCTCAAGAATGGTCTCAACAATGAATTCATCATGTCTTGAAAGGTGGTCGGAGCATTTGTGAGGCTAAAGGGTATTACTAAGAACTCATGTCCTAAATGAGTTCTAAAGGTTGTTTTGGGTATATCGGCCTCCTTCATCCTTATCTGGTGGTATCCAGATTTTAGATCCACTTTAGAAAAATAAACTGCACCGTATAATTCATCCAAAAGATCTTCAATTACAGGAATTAGATATTTATTGGAGATAGTTGCTCTGTTTAAAGCTCTGTAATCTACACAAAAACACCAACTCCCATCTTTTTTTTTAACCAAAATTACTGGACTAGAAAATGGGTTGTTACTGGGCCTAATAATACCTAAGCCCAACATCTCCTGAACCTGCTTTTCTATTTCAGCCTTCATTAAGTGAGGATACCTATATGGTCTCACGTTCACTGGCTTAGTACCTTCTTTAATGGTTATCTGATGATCCACTTTTCTGACAGGAGGAAGTCCTTGTGGCATCTCAAACACCCTCTCAAACTCCCCCAAGATCTTCTCCAGATTTGCTTCCTGCATGGGAGTTAAACCCTCTACTCCTAAGTTTTATGCTGTTGTATCAGACTGATGCAGACCCCACACCACCGCTAGCGTTTCAATCCCTGTTTCCTTATGCAACGCCTCGAGATTGATGACCTTCATCATTGATCTGCTATCACCTCTTATCACTACCTCTCCTTCTGCCATCCCATACTTCATGGTCATTTGCTTCCAGTCCACCCTAATTTCCCCCAACGTGGCCAGCCACTCTACTCCCAGCACGACGTCGACTCCCCCTATTTCAAAGAGGCAAAAATTCTCTTTAATTTCCACTCCTTATAGTATCAATGAAACTCCCATGCAACCACCTCGCGTTTCCTTTCTTTGGCCGTCCCCCAGGCAAACGCAATATGGCGTCGTCTCCTCCTTCTCTAAACCCATCTCGTTCGCCAAACTTGTTGAGATGAAGTTATGGCTCGCTCCGCTATCAGTGAGCATGATTACTCTCCGATCTCGAATCCACCCCGACAACTTCATGGTTTTGGATTGAGCGATTCCCCCAACGGAATACATCGATAATTCCATGCATCGTTGTTCCGCCTCCTCTTCTGCCTCTGCCACTTCTTCTTCTTTGTCATCGGCCCCCATAATCATCACCTTGAAACTTCTCTCCGCACAACGATGTCCTGGGCTATAAGGACCCCCTCAATGAAAACAGCGGCCCTCCTCTCGCCTCTTAAGATATTCCGGATATGGTAGAGTTCGCACTCCGCGACTCGATCTGCCTCCACCTATATTGCTTTCTACCTTTGAACCGACGGTTCTGGTCGTCTCATCTTTCTTTGGACCGAGACCTCTGCCACTGCTCCCCTGCCTCTCTGATGACCCGCGATAGGTCTCCGTTCGCGCTACAGTGCCCGCGCTAGCCGCATATTTCCCCCACGTCGATCCTCCTTTCATCGTTCCACCACCGCTAGACGTCCTCGCCACTAATCCCGATTGCTCCACGTCCTGTGCCCTTTGCATCACGGTTAACAGATTGCGCAGATCGTAAGGTCTAACGAGATCCCTCAGTTCTTCTTGTAATCTAGCAAAGAAATATCCGAGAAGTTGTTCCTCCGTCACGCCAGCTGCCTAAGCCACTAAGACTTCGAATTCCTGTACATATTCTTCCACCGTTCCTCTTTGTCGCGCTGCCGCCAATTTTTCGAAGATTGTTCCCCGATGTCTACATCCAAACCTCCTTACCATCACCTCCGTCAATGTCACCCAGGTAGGATTCTTCACCTTCTTCCGCCAAAAACAAAACCAATAATTCACTCCTTCCTCCATACAGATGTACACCAGCTTCATCTTCTCCCTTTCTGTCACATTTTGTAATTCAAAAATTTTCTCCACCCTAGCAATCCATCCCATCGGATCGATCCCTTCGAAAGTGGGTAATTCCAGTCTCTTCATCCAACTCTTTTGAACATCGCGTTCTTCATCCGATTCTTCCTCTAATTCATCCTCCTCCGTATCCCGACTTCCATTAACCGAATGACTTCCTTCAGAACTCCTCCCCTGGTTCCCTCTTCTCCCACGGTCGTGATTCACGTTTCGAGCCATTCCTCTCATCTTCGCTCGAATTTCCTCCAACGTCGCTTCCATGGCATCGAATCTTCCCTCCAATGCACTCACCTTGTTCTCCATCTCGTCTCTCCTTCGATCTGGATCCGGCAAGTCGGACCAATAATGTTGGACTTCTTAATTCAAGAAGTCAAGAAAGCAAATCAATCACACCAACAGATTACACTTCTCTGAATATACTTCTCTTATTCAATGAACCAAGAATACAATTGTATAGTAATCCCTCCTAAGGAAGCCCAATCTCCCTCCACTGCACTAATGTTCCAGTCAACAACAATTACAAATCTCATTCCCCTCGCCCTTTTCCACTAATTATTATTTATACTCCCCTTTCCCTTTAACAAACTTCTAACAAAAACTCCCTCCTAATTTCTAATGGACATTTTCTCATTTCCGTCTTTATTTCTCCTTACATATACTTTTATTCCCCTATCACTCCTCACGTTCAAAACTTGTTGAACCAAGTTCACTTTGAGAGTTGAGGATGAGCCGAGATAAGATTTATGATATGTTGGAGTTGCAAGTATAAGTGAAAAAGTCTTACATTGGGTAAGATTGCAAACTAGATCACAATTTACCTTGTATTGAATTTTCTTTCTGGTGCAGGGCTGTTGGAGGGGAATTTGATGATATTAATGCAAAGTACTGCGATGCTGAGAAGGAAGTCAATATGTTGCAAATAAAAATACAAGAAGTTAATGGTAACCTATCCAAACACCACAAGGATTTGGAATGTAAGTGCTTTCTATCATTCAAAGAAGTTGAGCATAAACATTTTAGTTTTTGAAGGAAATCAATGTTTTAGTTCTGCATGCTTATTGTTGCAATGGATTGCTATTCTGTCATGCCAATGCCAATAGATTGCTATTCTGCATATCAACATGATAATAATATGCAGTAAATATAAATAGCCTTCTATTTAGCATTTTGTATGCGTCTCTTGATATAGGTGATGGTGCCCACTTGATATTTTTTTATTTTTTTATGCTGCATCCTCTTTGCCCTAGTTTGGTTTCTTTCTTCCACCATGCTGAATAACTGAAGACACGGTTTTGTACTATTTATATTTAAATGATTTTCTTGCAGCAAGAAAGAGATTTATTGAATCGAAGCTTCAGTCTTTGGATCAGCAATGTTCTGGACTTGATTCTTATCTCAAAGTTTTAGAGTCTTCCAAGGAAAAAAGAGATGTACAGCGAAGGTCAATTTGTGCCAGACCATAGTGTTCATGTTGTTTTTGTGAACATATCAAAGTTGTCTCTTGACTTGATGTTGTCACTGGTATGCTGGTTTCATATCCACTAATACTTTGTCTTGTGATTGCTTGCAGCAAATATAATATTGCTGATGGCATGAGGCAGATGTTTGATCCTTTTGAAATGGTTGCCAGAGCTCATCATGTTTGCCCTTGCTGGGAGCGATGCTACGACTGTCGCGGTCATACAAATTTGATGTGCATAGAAAGAATGCAATATAGCTAGGATGTGACTCCTAGGTCGTCTCACAAGGACCAAATTTGGTTCAGTTTCGGATCAACACGTTATGGGGGGTTTTGTGATTTTGATGCGGTAAAATTAAATTAAACTGAAAATTAACTTTAAAACAGTAAACGTGAAAACGGTGAAGTAACATTCAAAACATTAAAAACCAAACGGTAAAAGACACCAAAATAAAATTAACGTGGGAACACTAAACGTAAAACGTTAAACACAAAAATAAAAGCATCAGTAAAAATAAACCGTAAACATAAAACTAAAATGGTAAAACTGAAATTAAAACAGTAAAACGAAATTAAACAGTAAAAACGATTTGCTACAGTAAAACGAAAATACAGCAAGGTCAAACAGTAAAAAAATAAATCTGGAACAGAAAACTAAAATACAGAAAACGAAAATACAGAAAAACTAAAATAAAGTACATAGTAAATACAAAAAATAGTAGAATTAGAAAATAAATTACAGCAGTAAATTTTACAACAAAACAGTAAATCTGAAATAGAAAAATGTAGTACAGAAAATGAAAATACAGAAAATAAAAATACAGAAAATAAAAATACAGAAAACAGTAAATACAGAAAACGGTCAAAACAGTAAAACAGTAAAAAAAATAAAATTTCAACAGTAATTAATAATATCAAAACAATAAATACAGAATTGGAGAATCCAAATAACAAAAATACAAAAACAGTAAAAATGGAATACAGAAATACAGTAAAACAGTAAAATACGAAAAACAGTAAATTGTAAAATATGAAAACAGAAACAGAATTACTGCACCAAAATATAGAAAACCAAATTACAGTAAATAATTCAAAGTGAAATAATTAACAACAAAGACAAAAGAAATTAATTTGTAGAAAACATAATTCACACATTTAATTACAACAGAAATTAAATTACAGCATCATTAAAATACAACAGTAGAAATTAAATTACAGAATCACAAATAAACAATAATAGATTTAAAGTTTAGAAAATTAAATAAGACTGAAATTAATTACATCAAACAAAATAAAATTGGAACCTATGATGTAGTGTGTACACCACTTTCAACCGTAGCCTTCCATTCTGCAAATGCTATGCTCCTCTTCACGTTTCTGTTACAGCCTCCTACTGTCAGCAGCTGAACTTCTCTCTGACTTCTACTCTACACCACGGCACCCCCTTTTTTGCTGTACCAAAGCTGCCTTCTTATATTTTTCAGTCCCCTTTTGTCCGTGTATGTGCACATCACTTGAAATAAAAGTGCTAATGGGGTCTCCATGAATTTGTCTCTAAACATTATTATTTTTTTACTCTGGACCGTCCCATTCTCTTCCAATTTCCAAATGCCCTCCATGTCACCATGTATTAAATACAAGAAATAAAAATGGTGCTACTAGGCCGGCCCACTTCTTCATTATTAAGTTTTGTCTTTAGCACATTTTCTTCATTCAATCCTTCCTTATGGACGTTCCAACAAGGAAATGGAGGGGCCTCCACTCTTTCTTTCTTTTCTCCAATGTAGACCGTGAAAATGAACCAGCACATAGTTAGCAGCCTCTCCTTTCTTTCATGTGCACATGGACATCTCCTTCTCCTTGCCGTCAGCATCAATCACCGTGTCATTCTCCACCAAAAATCAGTCACGTTTCCTCTTCTTTCCAACTTATGGCAGCAACAACTTGGAGACTTTCTTCCCTGCATCACCATGCTGCATTTTTTTATTCATGAAAACATGGTATGCATTCCTTCCAGGTTGCGGATGCTTCTCATGCTCCAACCAAGGTGGCAGCTGCACCAGCTCATTGCCGAGACATCCCCCTTCACCTTCTTAATTAATTCCATGTGCCTCTTCATCCAAAAATGGACTGCACCGTGAGTTGATGATGTGTGAACGGTGATTAGCTAGAATCCACTTTCAAAGGTGCATGAACCCCTTTTGTAGAACAACACCTACTATCCTCTAATTAGATATAAAAAACCGTGAGCTCCTTGAACAAGTGTGGAGTGGAAAAGCATGGAAAGTAAAACAAATCTTAGCATTTTAGAACTCTTTCTCATGTGGTCGTGAGCTTAGTGGTGGCTGCACCTCCATTGCCGTGACACTGCTTTTGATTCAAAATAAAATGTGCACTTAATTAATTGCTTCATAAAATAAATTAGTCCCTAATTTTATCCAAATAATTTCCCTAAAATTAATAATGTAAATAATTAACCATAGATAATTCAAATTAATCAAAATAAGAATTATCGGTCAAATTAAACACAATGATGAAAAACGGGAAAATACTGGACAATTAAGCACAATTCCCTGACTAATTCTAGTACAATAAGCTAAGTGAAGTGAAGAAAATAGTGATTCATCAAGCGGCCTTTCTCTCCAGAAGAAGACAATTTTGTCAAGAAGGTTTTAACTTCAAATCCTGTTATTACATACTTACATTATCTATTGGCTTTGAGCAAGCACGTTATGCAGTTTTGAACTGCACTTTTTCAATGACAGCAAAGAGTGAAGGCAGCTAGTTCAGCTGAACATATGAAGATTAAGTCAGTGGTTCCTTAAGCATCAATATATGAGATTTAATGCCATTAAACCCTGTAGTTTTTTAATTTTATTCAACCAAGCGCCCTTCTTTTATTGGAATTGAGTGCCCTTTGCTTACATTGCGTTAAAATTCATCATTTGGCCTTAGTAAAGCAATACAAATTCCACGTCAGGTTGATTGGGCTTAGCTGTGTAAACTGGTTAACTATCAGAAAAGCGTGCTATTGAACAATGGGCAACCAAAAGCACCCAAGTGTATCAAACAAACCAAAGAGAATGAAAAATATAACTAAAAGGGAGATAAGCACACATCTTTGAAGAAGTTCAAAAAGTTGGTTTGCAAGCTAATATTTATCGTGCCTGAAATACAATTACAAATTACTACATATTAAACAGTCTATTTCAAGCATTAATCAATAAGGATACACTTAATAACAAAATTATATACTTCTGTATTAAATTAAAACTTTAATGTGGTGCTGTCTTCATTAAAGTTAAAGGATCATGGAGGACAGGAAAGGGCAGGAAAATTTTCAGTTAATTGTGCTCAACTGATTGGTCAGCGTCAAAATGCAGAGAGATATTATCTTGTCCCCAAAGATGATATGTAAGAACAACAATATTACTGTTTTCATTTTGTTTTGAAAATAAATACAACTTACTGTAATATAATTCCATTTTAAATGTGAATTTTTTATTGAGAGCTTGTTTCCTATAAAGTTTATTTTATCTGAGACAACTAAAATATGGAATTCGACCACTAAACTTAATTGTAGGTAATCTCATTCTTGAGTAACTAGAAAAGGCAGAACCAATTTGTTTAAATGCAGAAAGGCAGAACAAAAACCATCCATTATATAATTTAGACTATACTATAGCCAGGAAGTTTAAATGCAATTCTTTTATCTATCATATCTCTCAACCTTTGAGCGTCCTTAAATCTCTCAACACCAACAAGAATATTGGACATAAGAACATAATCCCCACCGTGTCCTCTCTCCATCTCTAGTACTTTCCTGATCACCCTCTGACCAATTTCAACATTATTATGAACACTACAAGCACCCAACAAAGTTCTCCACATTACAGCATTGGCAACCTCATGAGGTACCTGTGAAGCAACCTTTTCAGCTTCTTCTAACCTGCCAGCCCTCCCCAGCATATCTATCACACAACCGTAGTGCTTGATATCTGGCACTAGTTTACAATCCTTTACCATTTTAACAAAAAAATCGAGGCCTTCTTGAACCAATCCTCCATGACTACAGGCACTCAAAACACTAAGGAATGTCACACGATTCGGACTAAGCCCAGCCTTCTCCATGTTTTCAAAAGTCTCTAGAGCTTCCCTCCCCATTCCATTCATTGCAAAACCAGAGATAGCTGAAGTCCACGATACCAAATTCTTCCTCTGATCAGGTAACTCCTGCAAGAATCTATTCACACTTGCTATACATCCACACTTTGCATACAAATCAATTAATGCATTGGTAATGCGTATGTCAGAGGAATTGAACCCTCTCTTCTCTGCATATCCATGAGCTGATTGACATATCTTAATACACCCAATGTTTGCAATAGCAGGAAAAATGGTCAAAAGAGTAACTTGAGTAGGTTCTATACCATCAACTTGGATCATTTCCCTAAATAAAGTTAAAGCTTTCATGGGCTGATTCCTGCGTGTGTATCCATCAATAACAAGGGTCCATGACACTACACTCCGAGAAGGCATCTGATTAAACACAGAAAGTGCAAGTTCAACCTCACCCCATCTAATCAAACCAGTGATAAAAACATTCCAAGTAACTAAGCTTTTGCATAGCATTTGGTAGAACACTTGTGCGGCTTCAACTAAAAGACCCCAACTTGAGTACATTTGCAAAAGCCCAGTTTGCACATACATATGAAACTGAAACCCAACCTTGAAAACGAGGGCGTGGAGTTGAGTCCCAAAGCGGGTGCAGTTTGGATTGGCAGAAGCGTGGGAAAGAAAGGCAAAAGAGAAGGTGTCAAGGGAAGGGTATGTGAAGAAAGTGTGGGAGTGTTGGGTGTACCTAAAGAAGTGAAGAGCTAGTTGAGGGGAAGGGCCACGGGAGTAACAGCGGATGACATTGTTCAAGAGGAGTAAACAAGTGGAGGTGTCGTGAAAAGGGTAGTGAAAGAGGCCAGAAGTGATAATGTAACAGTGAACTTGTTGCAGAATTTGGGGTTGAGAAGGATGTTTGAGCAGAAGAGAGAGCAAGTGTTGTGGATGTTTAGGTTTGGGAGAGGACGAAGGAGCTGGGATTTCAAGACACGGAAAACGGTGAGAGATGGTGGTGCTGGATATGGTTGCCACTGTTACAAAACCTGTAAGGGAGAAAAGGTGCTTTGGTTTCAAGAGTGACATTTTACTAACCATGTTCCATGTTCCATAAAACCATGTTCCGATCCATCTCACATTATCTACTCCAAGAGATGAATATAATGATCACAATTATCCACACCTAAACCTGTACACATAAATACCAAGTCACCTACGTAATTTAACATTTTCATGTAACAGAATAAACATTAGAATTTCACAGAACCAATAACATTCCTTATATTGCATTATGTTCTCATAAATATGTGTATATCCTGCAAGGTCCATTAACAATTATCATATAGAGCCCACAATAAATCATACAACTCTTTACTTTCCATCCATATCTAGTACCAGTTTTTAACATACCACCCTGTTCAATCTTTGCTTAACTCATTTGCTTAACTACCTAACATATCATATTACAAACTTGTCCAAACGGAACCTTCCAACCTTCATTAAGCATGCACAGACCCAGTAATAACGATGCACAGAAGACTTATACTTTCATACTATCAGTCGTCTAGATTAAAGAGACCTACTCCAACCTTCAACCAGCGAGACAGCTGGCCCTGTTACTCTAGTTCTGGTTTTAATATTATTACATGCATAACAGACCAACACAATGGCAAAGATAACCAGATAACCCGAAAACCCACGTTTTCCAGGAATTCTTCGTTACAAACCTGATACATTTAGACAGCAATTAGACAGACCACGTTCAGCATATATTCAGAACACCCACCATCAGTATATTCTCAAAAATTACCCTCCATCACACAATAACTCAAGTAACTCAATCCCACCACATTCCAAGTCTTCCAAACATCTAAAACCCTAACCATACTACTCAGAACAGCCCAATGCATGGCACGCAGGGTATTTAGGAACATACTAACTTCAAGCAGCAACTAAGCCAGACATTGTAATCATTAAACTCTCATCAGTATAATTCATACAGAGTACTAGTGCAATCAAACATGAATTTCATCAAACAAAACGTAACAAGAAAGTTGTTAATTAAACACACACAATGGCAACACAATAGGACTCTAAAATTTCATCAGAAACAGCCGTGAGCACATTAACATTGACTCTTCCACAATCACGACATCCAAATACATCAAACAGAAAGCTCAATTGAAGGATTTTCATTATGAATCACACATTTAACTAATAAATACAATTCAAGCAGAGTTAGCTCCCCATACTCAACTCATCCAACTAGCTAATCCATCCAGACTTAGCAGGTTCATGACAAATAGAGTACTATGTATATGGAAAATCAACTTTAGGCATGACCCAAGTCACACGATACTCATATTCCAAAAGACTATTGCAAGGTCAAAATTGTTGTTAAGTATGGAACCAACTACATAAACAATCAATTACATCTCCATTAACATTTGCAGCATGAAACACTAAAACAATCAAAGTTACTCAGAGTTACTCATCAGAAACTAGGCAAACTCACTCCCCACAGCCTCAAAAGTTTTTTTCGAAAACCTGGTTCTAAAATATAACATCCCAAAATCGGGAGTCACAATTATACGATAGAATTTGAAATTTTCACAAACCGTTTATAAAGTTTCCCAAGAAAGATAACCAAATATTAATAATTGTACGACCATTGTATTAATACATAAATTAGTCTACAAAGTTAGCATTTACATAAACCTCAATTCGTTATTACATTATACATAAAGATTCACCAAAAACCCCTTTTAGCTTTAACTCCCCCTCTCACCAGCGTCCACAAGATAATTCTCTATACCTACATATACACCTGCTCCCACATAACACACACGTTATACGATCATATTCACACACACACAAACAAACAAATATGGGTGAGTAACACATGCATTAGAAGACCATCAATAAGACACTCGGATTTAGTACCACATGTTCACCATCCCATTTAAATTCAAACATAGTATCTCCCGAACATAATCATACAGCATCTATTAATGATGATAACAACCATCATCAACCAACCATAGACTTCACTGTATTCCCAAATCTCCCTAGACACATAACGTCCACCCATAATCCAAATAAGCTATATTTAGCTTAAAACAATACCAACTCCCCATGCACCTGCCAACAATTATTTTTCCAGTAATTATAGTATCACACAGCCAAGTACAGATCAAGGATACCCATAGTATTTCATTTTAACTAATCCAAACAGTTTGCAAGCAACCAATGATGAGGGACCAACAAAAATTCCAACAGTCTAGCAATCAGAACACTAAGAAAGGACATGTAATACACCAGATGACCCAATGCACTAACCCAGTTTGAACTAGCGTACCAGGGTCCCTATATCTCTTTTTCAATGCAACCAGAGTAAAGTTCAGAGTTGACTACCTTAATTATTTCAAATATAACTTTGCATTAACAACGAATATACAAACTACATTTGACCAAAACCCAGAGTGTCCAAACAAATCAGAGAGTAAATTCCCAGCAGCCATATGAATAACTAGAATGCTTAAACACAGCATATACAACAGGCTAAAAACTGTAACATAAACAAAGCAACAACATCCAACATACTTCCATCAAGCATTTAACGTAAAGGCTCATTCCATGTTTAAGGTACAGACCGTACTCACACCTGAATTTGCAGTCCAACCCATATCTAAAAACGGTAACAATTACTCACATATAAACTACATATGACAGCCCTGTCATAAGCATAATCAATTTCCATCATATTATTATACGGGCAAACAAACCAGTTAATCAAACAGAGTCATAAGCAACAGGTCACGTAATTTATCTGGGCAGACTCAATTCAGCAGTGGTTAACATAAGCTTATCATTGCAAGCATGCATCTGGACAAGGGTTTAATACAGGTAAGCAACATACATTATGGAGAATCCTGTTAGTAGTAGATTCTGCCCAACAGACTCTCACATGATAGCCCAGCCCAAGCCACAAAATCTATTCAGTTTCACTAACAGCCAACCCAATTCCATCACACACATTAGACTCTGCATCAAACTTACTGTAAGCACAATTTTGACAGGTGAAAATACATTCCATTTCCAGTTACAGTTATGCTTGTCATATATTCAGAACATGTAACACACAAGCCCACACTTAAAACTCAAATACCATATAACACACAACCTAATTTGGATTGGATGATGCCAACTGTCGAAGTTGAAGTTAAAGGCCGAGCCTAGAATGCCGTTAGCTTAGTATTGTAGATGATAGCGTAGTTGAAACGTTCGATATGTGTTTGTAAAGCCGTTCGTCATATTATCTCGTTTCTGTTTGAGCGTAAGCTAGTTTTGGTTTCACGCCGTCGGCCTTAATCGCGTTAGTGCAAAGAATGATACTGTTACGGTTTAATGTAATAATCTAATTAATGGTATTACTATCTATTGGGATGTTTACATAACTTCCGCTCTCTAATTTCTTTTTCTTTTATTCTTCCGTAGCTCTATTTCTTTCTATTTGAATTTTCACTTTCAATTTCTCGTATTTTTAAAAATCAAATTTCACCACGGTGAAAATGAGGATTTAAGGAATATTATGGAAGGATCTATTTCTTCTTATGAGTAAGTTTATCTTCTACCTTATTTTTTAAGCAATTTATTTTCCTGTTACATGTGACTTTTGTACACTTTAGGTAAATCTCTATATATTAGAGATCATAAAATCATGTTTTAATTGTTGATTGAACTCTTCATTATGTAAATAGAGCTATTGAAGCTTTGAATGTGTAGGAGAAAGCGTATAGGAATCTACTTAGGTAACAAAGTTAACCATTAGAAGTTTGTAATTTCTGAACTGTGAGTTTGGTTTGAGATTTAATCTGGGGTAAAACTTGAAAAATAAAGAGTAAAATAACTCATTAGTTTCACGATGAATGATTTTGACGAAGATGAAACCAAAATGTTATCGGGCAAGTAAACTGAGAAATTGCATGAGAATCGTAGGAATTGAAGAAATGAAAAAATACTCCTCTAACGTTCTTATAGTTAAATCTAAGGCTTGAAAAATTATTTTAGAATGTGATATAGGAAACACCTCAAATTTGGCACTACCCACAATTCAAATTGATGAGGTAAAAAGGACTTATCTAACTGGATCCCATATCATATGCATCTAGAACACATCATAGTTTGGTAAAGATGATCATCTAAGGGGAAGATTTAAATTAAATGGGTTAAGCTTATTCCGTCATGGTTATGAGTTTGTCAAGCAAAAGATTTTGCAATTGCCTACTTCCTATCTTTTAGTTGAAACAAATTCAAGCGGATGCCCTGATTCACATGTTTTCATTGTTACATGTAATTGAATTTGAATTATAATAGGCAATGAGTTCATTGTCGTCAACATCTTTTAATTTTGTTCAGTGTTATTTTTATAGGTTTTAATAGTTGGAGGAAAGTTAATAATGGAAAAAGTTGCACTTTTTTAAAACGCATAGGGAAGGATCCCCCACCCACCACACAATATTATAGTGAGAGTTTGTCAATACTTGTTAAATCAAAATTGTAACATTAGAAATGTTTTGGAAGTGCAAAGCTTGGATTAAATTATGAAGAGTCAGTTACGTCTCAAGACTTCAATTGACACATTTTGTTTTTTATCCCTTAAAGCTGTGGCCTTGGAGGATCATGCTGATGAAAATAGTGATGAGGAACCAACGGTAATTTTTATTGTAAGATGATTAAATGTCAAAGATGTCCTAGCAATGAAATTAAACTGACGTAGTGAGTAATCTCCAATTAGTTTAGACCTGTCTTCTTTTAAATCCAAAATAGCATACTACATAGGCTAAGGTAATTGTATGGTTCGTATCCTTGCATTACAGAAAAATTGGCAATGCACGTTGTAAGACCTGAGAATTTCGCAAATTTCAATATAAATAATTATAAGTATTATGAGAAAGAATATTGGTATTATAAAAAAATTATAGGTATCTAGTATCAAGTGGTTAACTCATAGAAGCTTTAATTGTCAAGTAAGTGTGTCTTTTAATTGTAACTAGGAGACGAAAAAGTAACCTTAAATAGAATTTAAATGAGTAGTAAGCAACACAAATGATTGCTTAGGGTGAGAGTAGGCTTGTGGTTAAGAGACGGTGAGGTGTGTTGGTTTCAAACCCTAATGGGAACAAAGGAGAGTTTATTTTTATTTGGTTGATTTTTTTTAACCTAGCTTTTGACCAATAGAGAACACGTTTTTTTTCTTCTTTCCTCTAAATACCTCAAACCTTAGGGCATTGGGGGGATTTCGGCGTGAATGATGAGCATTCACTGCTCTCTTGTAACATGGGGGAGGGTAGAGAAGAGAGGGGAGGAGCGCATTTTTTTTTAGGGAGCAATTCGAGGGAGAAAGGTTGGTGTTGAGTGTCAGTGATTGGTACTCTGAGAATGAATGCAATGTGGTCGCGATCGGGGGCGTTGAGCAAGGGGATGAACGTTGGAGCAGGGATGCAAAGTGAAAGGTTGTAGGGCTGTGGTTGAGACCCCAGAGGTATGGGGAGTAAATAGTATGAAATGTGTATTTC